AAAATAAGTAAAACTGCCAAGTTCCAGGGTGAGTCTATTTCCTCAGGATCTAGTGCAACCATAAAGTAGAAAGAAGCTGAACACCCCCCCTAGACCCCTACCTCGTGTCAGGGTGTGCTGAACTTTGCCCTTTCTCACATGTGTGCAAGGGGAGCTGCTTTGTGCAGTGGGAAACCTGTGGCTGGTGTTTTCAGAGGAAGATCTGGTTCCTGCTGTGCCAGACACTGGCTTTTGACAAGCCAGGCACTGTCCTCCTGGTATGCCTGCCTCTGCATAAGCCTTCTGGTTTATACTCTGGAGGATGTGTAATGATCACGCCTTAACTATGAAAACAGTTCTGTTCTCACGTCAGAGGCTCCAGCGCCCCAGCACATAGGAGTGCTTGTCCCCTTTGAGCAGCACTGGTTTGTATCAATACAAAAAGGGAAAAACAATTAAAAAGGGCAAGCGAGCCACAGTTTTGCTCCTGTTGTTGCCTAAGCCACTCGATCTGATGCCAAGGAGTGGGGTGCGGAATTTCCATATACACTTTCTGGGTAATTTCTCTTCCTCTTCTCACATCCTCAAGGATTGTTCCTGATTTTTCATAACCACTGTATTAGGGGTTTTTCTTACTCTACTTTTTTCTTGTTGTTGTTTTAATTGTATCAAATAAGATTAAAGAATATAACTGTATTCAATCAAAAGTGATTATTCTTGCAGGTTAATCTGACTAATAAAAGTTTAATTGTATTTCAGGAAACCGTATGCCATTGTGGTGCATTATTTTTGTACCTCTTGGCTTGTGCTATTAAAAGATTGCAGCTGATACAAAATGATATGGGAGGATGCCAACTGGATTCACAGTATTTAATCAGATTGCTTTGGCTTTGAAGTCTCTTCATTGGTTAGTTACAAAACTTCCTATTAATTTTAGGGCATTTCTGCTCACTTCTGAGGGTTCTAATAGCATTAGCTTGAAAGCTCAGAAATTCTTTGGGAAGGAAGAGATATTTCATGTTTGTGTTCTTATTCTGTTTTCCTCTAGTTATTTTTTCCTGAAGTTTCAGCTTGTGTAACTTCTGGATGGATATTAAATACCTTTCGAAAGCATGCAGGAGCAGATCATTTTAAAGGCTGTTGTTCACATATCTGAAATCATCTGAAATTCACAGATTTGAAAGGCTTGACTCCATTTTCATTTGCAGCCCTTTGTACAGCTTTTACATTTTGAAGATTCTTGTTTGAATAAAAAGCACGCAAGTGGAATAAGCTGTAAAATACTAGTTACGTATTCAGTCCTTCTCCCGCACCGATACACTGGGGTGGAAGAAGCTACTGGGTGGATAACACTTGGGTGGAAGAAAAAAGGCAATTACAAATGCTGGGTACCCCAAGCAGAAGGAGGAATAAATGAGTGATGCTTAACAGAAGCCCAATTGAGTTCATGTTGCTGGAAAAAAACATCTACCAGGAGCGGCATCAGATAACAGAGTACTTTGCCTAGCAAGGTAATTACGGTTCAAACAGTAAATGCATTCAAGGCAAGATGAGATAAACTCTCCCAAAGTATGGTGTAGGCAGCGCGGTAGTGTGTGGGGAAGGCGAGGGGCTGGGAGCCCCCACCCTGGTACCACTGACCTGCTCCCCTTCCCCACCATATCTCCATCACCCTCAGCCTCTCCTGTTCATGGGGCAATGCAGGCAGGAGGCTGGTGGGACAGAGGCAGTGGATCCCGCTGCATTTCACAGGAAGGCGCCAGGGCCAAGATAATCTCCTAATAAAAATAAAACCAGTGATGTTTTGGACACGGGACAGATGGATGCACCAAATAGGGATGGCCTGGGCCAGATTCCCAAGGGTTTGAGCTTTATCTGAGCCTGTTTGCTCACTTCTTATCGAGTAGGGGTGTATCTGGTGCGTGTGCCAGTGCCAGTCCTGGTTGATTTTTTTTTCAGCTTCTCACTAAGAGAAAAAGGAACTTCTGCTATGTTTAAAGAGCAGGGGTGGGAAGAAAACCCCACTGGCAGCATACGCCTTATGACAGCACTAGCACATTCATTGTGAAAGTGATGGGCAGCTAATGGTGTCAGTGCAGGAAAAAACCCAAACTGTGTGTGTTTGTTTGTTTGTTTCTCTCAAAAGCTCTGGCCTGAGAAGGGGCTGCAAAAACAATCACAGCCTGTGAAATCAGGACAGTATTTAAAACAGAAGAGGTGGGGGGAAAAGAGGTTTTATAAGTAGTGCCAGCTGGATGTGAAATCAATCCAGCTTTTCAAAATAATGAAAATATCTCTTTCCCATTCATTCCGCCTGGCATGTAACACCAGTGCTGCTGCCACATCATCGTTCCGAGTTAGCACGCCAGAAAGCAGGCACCAGCAGAGACCCAGTTGCCACTCAGTCCCCAGAACAAGACACTGTTGTGGGATGGTGTCGCAGATACGGCACCACTGGGAAGGATGCTCCCAGCAGCAACTCCCAGCAGCAGCTACCCAAGCAGGAGAACTCCCTGGATCCAGGGCAGCAGAAGGAGGGGAGTACTCATTAAAACAAAACACTTAAATTTTGCAATTTGCAGGTCCAGCCACTGAAAACAGAGGGGTGGCTGCAGTGGAGAGGAAAGGGGGCTGATGGCAGTGGCACAACCTTTCCTGTGTAAAATCTTTCATTATTTAAGTCAAGCCTCATTCAATCTAACTTCTCCTTAAAGGCAGGCATTTTAAGTCTGATACACACAAGATGAAAAAAAATTTTTCCAAAATGTACAGCACAGCACTGAGTCAGGCTCTGTTGGATGGTCTGAACATCCTGATTTGCCGAAGGAAGAATGCACTTCTTTAGCCTGACCCTTGTTTCCAACCACCTCTCTGTTTTGGATTTACATTACCAGAAGTAAATGCTGCCACAACAATGTGAAAAAGCAACTTTCATTTCTCTGTGCTTTAGACATACACACCTGCCCCCTTTTCTTCACCTAAAGCTAGGAGCTGTGAGGATAAAGAGCTATTTTAATGGATGAGGCACCTTGTTGAGCAAGCAAACCCCAGACCTGGAAGTGTTGAACAGGGAGATATGTTTCACACTGTGTTTTAGTGCCTACTCAGGGGCTGCTCTGTGATTAAGATGAGCCAGAGATGCTGGCGAGCCAGAAAAGCACATCTAGGGGAGCACAGCAGCACTGAGGTGCAGGTAGATCACTTCAGTGAACTGGATGGACTTTGCAAGGGAAGGTTCCAGACCTACTTGGACAAGTGACAGAGGGACACTGAAGAGAAAGAGGGACCAAAAACAAATTGGGAAAAGCAGAGAAAGAGGTCTCCATGGGTTGATATAAAGAGGAAGTTGCTGTAAATCAAGCTGAGTTGCTGTAAATCAAGCTGCTGCTCCTGCAAGGGCAACCACCTCTAAGCATTTTCCGAGGCATAAACAGAAAGCAGACAAGAGGTGCATAAGAAGGCAGTAAGGGAAGAAGCAAGTACAAAAGATGGTCATATAGAACATCAAGTTAAAAAATTCACATAATTCAGTTTTCTATAAGGAGTTGTTAAATACCTGGGGTAAAACCAGCGAAGCTGTTAGGAACTGGGGCATGAAAATTTAAGAGGCTGCACTATGGGTAAAAAAAAAGCAGTATGGTCAATGCACCTTATCACATAGACAAGATCATCTCCATCCCAGGACCCTTAAAGGTTCATTCATCAGATTGCATGAAATCATTAATCCGACAGTAACTACTTTTTCTGTAAACCTACTCAGTGAGAGATGCTGACCCAGATTTACAAAATAGGAAATGGTTTCTAGCCAGTTGACCATTGTTGTCTTGATGTTAGGAGAGGCCTAGAATGAAATTTGAAGGACAAATAAAAATTAAAAGGGTGTTCAGGATAAAAAAAATACAATACAACCAACCTGTGTCATTCAGACTAGGTTTATCAGGAGTAGCTCAAGCCAGCCTAGTCTGATAGAGAACCGATAGATGGATAGATAACCAACAGGAAATAGATTTTCTAGGCACCAGGATGATTTTGATGCAGAGATACCTGGAAAATTATCAGGGAAGCTAATGAAGATGGGTAATACTGTAAGAAGTGTAAGACAGGTAAAGATTTGGATCACAGTGAGAAACAGCTTTTATACTTTAGGGAAGCATCAAGCCAGAGGGAACCTCTCAGTGGTGTTCTTTACAGATGGGTCTTGGGTTTGCTTTTCTTAAACACTTACATGACTGGTCTTGGCACAAACAAACGGGAGCATCGTGATGAACTTTCTCACTACAGCATAGGATTGGGGCAGTTGTTGGGAAGAACCACTCGACTTTGAAGAGTGTGAGATAAGATGGGTAACAGAACTGCAAAGTGAGGCACAAAAGAAATTTTGTGCTATGCTCTAGGAAATTTGTCCATTGAAAATCATCTGTCCTGGAGTGATCTGAGCACTGGACTTGACTATGGGTAACATGGAGAACAAATGTGAGGTGCCTGTGAAATATACAAAGCAGCCCACATAGGTGTGAAAGCTAGTACGGAGGAAGGATATACTGAACCCTAATGAAGGCGCTGGCAAGCCCTGCCTTATACAAGTCCAATTACTCACTTTCGAAAGAGATAAATTTTACCAAAATTAAGTGCAGATAAGGATATAAAACTGGGCTAAGGGTAAAAAAATTACCTGAATGATAGAAGGTGAATCCAAAGCTTTGGCTAGCTTTCCTGAGCAAAACTGTGGCTGAGAGGACCCATGGTTGCTGTCTATCAGAATAATGTCAGTAACCCCAAAGGAGGAATACAAACTATTTAGGCTGGGGAGATGGCTGACACAAAAACAAGTGGGTCCATACTCTCTGCAATTGGCTAAGCCTGGAAACTAGAGGATGTGTCCAGCCTGAGAGCAGTGAGTCTCGGGGACAGCCTTCAGCTGCAAATGCCCAGTGAGCATAAAGATGGAGTCTGAGGAGGGTGAAAAAGGGCTGTAAGCAACAGGGCAAGGCTTGAGGTTATACAGATTTAATTCCCACCCTATCTTTTTCTATTTGAGTAGCCAGTAATCCCTAGATGAGCCTCACAGCAGACTCTGTTTGCTCTGTGCCTATCAATGTTTATCTCATTTGCAGCAGAAAAAGCAATCCCGGGAAACAGGAAATTCACTCGGAGGAGAAACGCTGCAGTGCCCTCACTCATGAGCTTTGGAGGGCAAATCTGCCTCAGGGTTTCAGCAGACTATTCTTCAGCCACCTTCCATTCATCGTTAGGAACAACAGCTAAATAACTCCTAGCCTGTTTCATAACAGGGATACTAGCCTGAGAGGTAAGACACTTCCTTTCTTTGCTTGAAACATCATGAACTTTCAAACTTGGCAAGGCTCTTTTGAGTTCGATCTAATAATAAACCCAAACCTTCCATTACACAAAAGCAATGAGGCTGAACTTGCCTGAACTTGCTTCAGGGAGCTGAGATCCAAAGCTCTGTCATTCCCTCAAAAGCCATTCTTCTCTTTGCAAGGACAGGATGTTGTTGTAACAAGGCATCCTTGCGATTCGCTCAGCCTCCCTTCCTCGTGATGTAATCCCTCTATAGCGACTCTGGAGGTCCTCCTTCAGCTCCAGTTTTGGGCATACAATGGCTGCCCAAGTAATCCCTGCTCTTTTCTATGAGTGATTTATGGAGACTAGAAGAACATTGAGACACAGCACATTCTCTGTTTTCCAAATGTTGGTGCAGCGAGAGTGGTAATTTTCCTGCCAGCGGGAACCTAAAAGACCTGGTGGGCTTTTCTGGCAGGACTGGATGCCAGTGAAAAGGACGCCAAGCTGCCTGTGGAGCAAGAGGAAGTATAAATGTGTGTTTGCTTTGACTTCCACTGGGAATCACGGAAAAAATATTTTGACTTGATTTTACAGTTCAGTTTTTCATTAGCACAATGGGAGCTCTCGGCCAGTGATCAGAAATGCCCTTGCTTAATTTGCATCGGTTCCTGGTCTCTTATTAGGCACAATTGACATTGGGAGAACAAAACCACACTGACTGCATTGAAGACAGAGTGAAATACTTCTTTTCTCATCAATTCTTTCTTGCAGTACTGGCTTTCTTATGGAAGAGAATGGTCTTATGTCATCATGAAGTATTTGTTCTGTGAGTCTGTGCTGTTTGTTCTAGGTATCTAAATTTAAATGACTAACTTAATCACATAATCTCCCTAGGCTGCCTATAAAAACCACTGGAGAGCGAAGGGCTCCTCTAGTGAGCAGTTCAAAGGCTCTTGCTTAAGTGAGCAATCTTTTATTACCATGCCATGCAACATAACAGGTGTTTAGGGTTATACTTTATGCACCCTGCTTGCATGCTCCTGGTCTCCAGGATGATGTGAAAAGCACAAGAAGTTCTCTGCATATCTGGATTTGTTACCCACCATTTTCCAATCACAAAATTACTCCAGTACGAGGGAATGAAATAGTGACTTCCTTCACCTTGTATAAAAACAAACAGGCCACTCAAGTCGGTGTTGAGTTTGAAGCTCGGTAATTTTTACCTATGCAGGAATGGAGATTGATAGTGGAAACCTATCCCTTATATTTGGAGTAGGAAAGTGAATTTGGACTTATACAGATCCAAATCTCATAGAAGTTTGGAAACCCATGATTTAGGAACTGTTACACGAAATTATTCCCAAGCCCATTTTGCTCATCATCCTACTTGCACTGGGGACCACTAGAAGAGGTTTTAGTGAGTGCTGAAATGGGTTTGCAAGAGGCAGGCTGTGACATTTGGTCACATCATAATCCTCTACAAGCAGATGCTGGCTGAAGTCAGATCTGACACATGGAAGTTAGTTTCCCTTCTACACATTATCTTAGCATTAAATAATAAAAATACAGGTTTTCTTGCTGCCCACATTATAGTGAGAAGCTGTAGATAGAATATCTGGCCTTTAGAGAAGTATTGTTCAAGGGGAAAAGGTCCAGGTGAAATTACTGGGGGTACTCAGAGAGCAGTTACCAGTTGAACACTGTCAAACTAGAAAGATTTCTTGAGCTTGATCCTTAGGGATATGGTCTGGGTTCAGGAATATTCAGTGTTTTCGTTAGTAATTTGGATGGAGAAGTAGAGAATCCCTTTGTTAGAATTTCAGCTAAGAGCAAGAGACACTAGGGAGGAGAGGATTAGCACTCAGGAGATGTCAGTAATTAGAGGAATGGTCTGGAAATAAACAGGATGCAATTCAGTGAAGACAAGTGCAAATCTGCACCTACACTGAAATAATCAGCTCCACAGGCACACGGTGGGAGAGAGCAGCTCTGCCGTGAGGGAGCTGGGGTTTATGATGATGAAACAATGACTCAGCTGTGGAAGGAAGAAACACCAGACTGGGTTGGACAGACAGGGATATCGCATGTTAGGCACACGGGGATAAGCCTTTCAGCTGGATCACTGGGACCAGTTTCTATCATTACACCTCAGAAAGGATGCAGCTGCAGTCCCAAGGAGAGCAAGGCTGCAGAGAGCCTACAGAATGGCACCTATGAGGAGAGAGGCAAGGCTGAAAGACGAAACAATAACAATCTTCAAGTGCAGTTAATCTGCCAAAAAGAGGAAGGTGGTGAACTAGTCTGTGTCCAGAAATTATCCTCTGTGGTTTAACCACTATTTTCTGTGGTTAGAATAAAAGAGAGAGGGAGAGAGAAATTGAGATGGTAGATAAGTTGACTTTACTGCTTTGCTTATGAAGTGCCTTGGGGCATAAAGCACATGATCAAACATAGTCGAGTTACTGCAGCTTAATGAGTTATTGCCTGTTGGCTGAACCATACTAATTAACCCTGTGTGTGCTCTTAGCCTGCCTCAATTGCAGATGAAATGGGCTCACTTAAATACTTGTGCTTTGCTTTGCAGGCAAGGTAGGCTGAACATGATTACAGCTTAGCTGATGGAGAGTGACTTCTAAGGGATAGGAACTCGTCCTTAGTGCTCAGTGGTAACCCTGGCACTGTTGTATCTGGGAAGGGATTTGGCAAGGGAGGATGAGAAGAAAACAGACCTAAATATATAAAGTATGTTAATTTGGAGGCTTATGTCAATAGGAAAGTGTTTCCATACAAGTGTAGAGGAAATGTATTAACACCGAGTTTTATAAAAGATCTCAGTAGTTTTTGTTTGGGAAGGCCTGTATTATGGTAATTTTAAAAATACATCATTAAGAATGCTACAGAGTACTGCACACACTTCTCACAACAGTACACAGCTTTAAATCTCTCCTGTTTTTTTTAGTGTTTTCCAGTAAATTATTCTTTTTGACTCATATCCTCATGCTCCCCTTCAATTGTAGCTCTTAACTATTGGTAATGGCTGGTGTAGTTTCTCCTTTTGATGAGCTATCTTCTTTCTTTTACTGTGAAGAGTAGTAGCTGTTGGAGCTTTACTGGTGCTGGTAAGAGTAGAGCATACAGTGCTCCAGATTTCTTCTGATGTCCCTTCCTGCTTTCCTGCCTCCTTTCCTTCCTGCTTGCTTGCCTGCCTCCCTCTTTCCCTCCCTCCCACTTTTTTTCTTCTTTGTGGTTGTTTTCCACCATTGTTCTTTTGAGAAGTGCTTCCATGTGAAATGGAAGCAGACACTGCTACTTTATTAGTGTGCTGATGTTTTATAGAATCAGATAAATTAACCTGGTGAGGACCTCAGGAAGTTATCTCATTATTTTCTGTGCTCAGGGCAGGATCAAATACAATACCTCCCATTCTGAGTGATGTTTGTCTAACCTGCTTTTGAAACCCTGCAGTGGTGCAAACTCCAGTCCCTCTAGACAATCTTTCCCTGTACTTTCCTATCTTCAACCACTCCATATGATCCAAAATGCAGAGCTGATGACAAGTTACACACAGTCTAGTGTAAACCCGCCAAACTACATTCATTTACTGCCATGATCCTTCCAATTTTCTGTAAGAAAGAGAAATGCTAGAAATCTTCATAGAGATTATTTGATAGCATAAATGTTTTGTAATCTAATTGAGTCTAAAGAGGATTGTTTTCCCTTCAGGACATAGATTTTTGCACTGGCAGAGAAACTACAACATACCAGGAGCTATAATGCTACACTAGTAATTTATGCACTACATTTCTCAAGTGCCCGCAATACAGAAATGGGTTTTCATAGATGTGTTTTATATATGTGGAAGGAGGTGCTATTATGTACTTATTCAGTGTTAGGCTTCCTTGTTATCCCAGATGCACACTCTAGTCTGAGAATATGTGATTTAGTTGGAGTCGAAATTCAGTCTGGGTCAGGCGAGTCTGTCTACTGCAGCACAGAAATAATTAGCATCTGTATGAAGTTCCTATCCAGATGTGGATCTGCAATGGGGAAAACGTCTGTGGCTGATTTGAGCTGAGGTTTGTCTTATCTCTAGTTTCACTGCAAAGAAATTTTATCTTAAAACAGTACTCTTGCAGTCTTTCCAGCACCGTTAATCCCCCTCTGGTATTACCAAGGAAATATCAGACAATAATGACTCCTTGGAGATCTGAAATGAAACCATCATACAAGAGGAATGTGAGAACTGCTGAGCAGACTGTATTTCTAGTTATCTGAGAACAACCGTACATCTACAAGTAGCTGAAAATTGTGATGCTACTATGATTCTGTCACATCCTTCAGCAGACTCGTGTGAGGACAGATAGGTTAAAGAACAGACAAACTGTTTCCTCCCCCTGCATGCAGAGGGAACTGAACTTGGCTTGACAGTGAGGGGCAATGCTGGAAAAATTATGATTGGGCTAGGAGGTCATCTTAAAACAGGTGAAAGAAAACCTATTTCATACACAGTGAGTAACAAACTTCTGGGATTTATTCCTGCAGAAGGCTACAGGTACCAGCTAGTTTAAGAAGTGCTTAGATGATAGACAAATTCATGGGCAATGTGGGCTGCCCTTAAAGAGACACTAAAGAAAATAAGTAGGTTGCACTTACTAAACTCCCTACTCAATAAGTCCTACCACTATCAACAGAGGCAGGATATGGGGTGAGGTGGGGCGTCAGTCTCACCCCAGTAGCACAAGTCTGATGTTCTTATGAACTGCATCTCCTCCCTATCCTATCTGTCCTTCCCGTGACTCCAGAGCCAAACCTACCTATCACAAGGGTAAAAAGGTTTTTTGCTGGGCTTGCAATAGTCTACAGAACTGGAGCTGGCTGGTGGGGAAATGGCTACTTGGGGTCATTGGCATGAGGGATAATAGATCCGGACCTATTGGCATCATTGTCCAACAACAGTTATAGAGAAAAGCTGGTGATAACAAAACACAGCCTGGTAATGCC